ACATAAATATTGCTAGTGTTGGACATCCCTGAGCAGAGGTCTTATTTTCTGATCTTTTCACTCTTTCTGTCCACTTTTGTATATTTTTTCTACTTCCTGGGATAGCTTTCTCTTCCAACTCTTCTATTGCATAAGGATTTATTTTTAGCTATTGATTTCAAAGAACATTTGTCTTATCAGATTTTCCTTTCTTTTCAAGACTTTCTTGATGTGAGTGCAATATATTTCATTTATCTGAGAATATTAATTTTAACATTTATATATTTTTTTCTTTTTCTTTTTTTTTTTTTTTTTTTTTTGTGATGGAGTTTTGCTCTGTTGCCCAGGCTGCAGTGCAGTGGAGTGATCTCAGCTCACTGCAACCTCCACCTCCCTGGTCCATGCGATTCTCCTGCCTCAGCTTCCCAAGTAGCTGGGATTACAGGCACCCACCACCACACCCTGCTAAATTTTGTATTTTTGGTAGAGACGGGGTTTTACCATGTTGGCCAGACTGGTTTCAAACTCCTGATCTCAAGTGGTCCACCCTCCCTGGCCTCCCAAAGTGCTAGGACTACAGGTGTGAGCCACTGCACCTGGCCTTATTTCTTAAGAAAGAATATGTTTATTTGCTGTTTTCTCCTCTTTCTTTTACTCTTCGACCTTCCCTTTCTTTTTCTTTCGTTGTCTCTCTCTCTCCCTCTCTCTCTCTTTCTCTCTTTCTTGCTGTCCCCCCTCTATTTCAGGGTTTTTCTTCATTATCCTGTAAATTTTTGCTCTCCCTTTGTGTAATGCTGAGAAGCTAAGAGAAACCTGTGTGCTTGATCACTTGTCTTCACTATGCGATGATTAGGCAGCATTTGCCTTTTGTTTTTCCATGTATTTGTATGAGGAATAAGAGCATCCTAAAAATAGAATCTTTCATATAAAATAGATGACCATGAGAATCAGGTTTTACTAGTTGATGAAGTCTTATTTATATTCTAAACCATAGTAAAAACTCCCATTCTGTACTAATGCCATTTGCATATTCATCCCCTCAAAATCTCATGTTGAAATATGATCCCCAAGGTTGGAGGTGGGGCCTGTTGGGAGGGGTTTGGATCATGGGAGTGGGTCCCTCTGAATGGCTTAGTGCCATCTTCATGGTAATGAGTGATGGTAGATCACACAAGATCTGGTGGTTTAAAAGAGTCTGGGACCTCCCCCTGCTCTCTCTTGCTCCTACTCTCACTATGTGACACTTTGCTCCCCTTCACCTTCTGTCCTGAATGGAAACTTCCTAAGGCCCTCACCAGAAGCAGATGCCAGCACTGTGCTTCATGTATAGCCTGCAGAACTGTGAGCCAATTAATTCCTCTTTTCTCATTTACCCAGCTTTAGATATTTCTTTATAAATGCATAAATGGACTAACACATTGCACCAAGCCTGTAATTAACAGACTTGCTTCTTTGGTTACTCACATCTTCCCTAAAGGAATGAACTTTCTGGGACCATTTTACTGATAAAGATATGGAGGCAAACAATACAAGTGTAGTGATGCTCCCAAAGTCACCAAGCTACTAGTAAATGAGAGCATCAACGTTCATTCTCAGGTCACTAAGCTTTATCTTTGCTTCCCTACTGACCCTTAATAATTGGCCAAACCAATAGCTTCAGGGTCTCACAGGCCAGCAAACGTAAACAGCAGTGCCACTGAGTCTATGACTGGTTAGGATGATAGGGTCTCAAATACCCTGTGAACCTTATAAACTCATATAAACCCGGTGGTGTCAATATCATGCCACTGTTCTATCTCAATAAGGACTGATCTGGTTTGGCTATGTCCCCACCCAAATCTCATCCTGAATTGTAGCGCCCATAATTCCCATGTATTGTGGGAGGGGCCCTGTGTGAGATAAGTAAATCATAGGGGCAGTTCCCCCATGACATTCTCATGGTAGTGAATAAGTCTCATGAGATCTGATGGCTTTATGAGAGGTTTCCCCTTTTGCTTAGCTCTCATTCCCTCTCTTGCCTCATCACCATGTAAGATGTGGCTTTGCTCCTCCTTGCCTTCCACCATGATTGTGAGGCCTCCCCAGCCATGTGGAACTGTGAGTCCATTAAACCTCTTTCCTTTGTAAATTACCCAGTTTCAGGTGTGTCTTTATTAGTAGCATGAGAACCAGAAAGATGTCCCCAGGTTGCTAGGAAAACAAATTGGTGCCCAAAGTCATGGAGTGGTAAATATTCCTCCCCCAGGGGCTGTAGAATGAGGCTACAGAAATAAGATCTTCCCATTTGTGGCTTAAAAATGCGTCCTGCTCGGTGGAAATTGGCACTGATTTTCTGGGAATGCAGAACACTCCGAGAAGGAGGGCGAGAAGTGGGTCTCATGCATTGAATGTTTAGCCTAAGCTTTTGATTCCCAGGCCAAGCTCAGGAAAGAAGCTTACCTTTGGGGAGATATCTATAGATATAGATATATAGTGTGTGTGTGTGGTTTGCATTCCAATAAAACATTAAATTTTTTTTTATTTCCATAGGTTATTGGGGAACAGGTGGTGTTTGGTTACATGAATAAGTTCTTTAATAGTGATTTGTGAGATTTTGGTGCACCCATCACCCGAACAGTGTACACTGCACCATATTTGTAGTCTTTTATCCCTCACCCCCTTCCCACTCTTTCCCCGAGTCCCCAAAGTCCATTGTTTCATTCTTATGCTTTTGCATCCTCATAGCTTAGCTCCTCCTTGTAAGTGAGAACATACGATGTTTGGTTTTCCATTCCTGAGTTACTTCACTTAGAATAATAGTTGCCAGTCTCATCCAGATTTCTACAAATATCATTAATTCATTCCTTTTTATGGCTGAGTAGCATTTCATCACACACACACACACACACACACACACACACACACACCCGGAGTTTCTGAACATTTGGGTTGGTTCCACATTTTTGCAGTTGCAAATTGTGCTGCTATAAACATACATGTGCCATTATCTTTTTCATGTAATGACTTCTTTTCCTCTGTGTAGATACCTAGTAATGGGATTGCTGGATCAAATGGTAGTTCTCTTTTCAGTTCTTGAAGGAATCTCCACACTGTTTTCCATAGTGATTGTATTAGTCTACATTCCCACCAGTGGTGTAAAGTGTTCCCTGTTCACTGCATCCATGACAAAATCTATTATTTTTTTATTTTTTGATTATAGCCATTCATGTGGTTTCGATTTGCATTTCCCTAATCATTGGTGATGTTGAACATTTTTTCATATGTTTATTGCCCATTTGTAGTTCTGTATCTTTTTTTTTTTTTTTTTTTTGAGGTGGAGTCTCACTCTGTTGCCCAGGCTGGAGTGCAGTGGCACGATCTCAGCTCACTGCAACCTCCGCCTCCCAGGTTCAAGCGATCCTCCTGCCTCAGCCCCTCTAGTAGCTGGGATTACAGGCATGTGCCATCATGCCTGGCTAATTTTTGTATTTTTAGTAGAGATGGGTTTTTGCCATGTTGGCCAGGCTGGTCTCAAACTGTCCTCAGGTGATCCGCCCACCTCAGCCTCCCAAAGTGCTGGGATTGCAGGCATGAGCCACAAGTGGAGCATTTAGACCATAAATTCAATGTTAGTATTAAGATGTGAGGTACTATTCCATTCATTGTGCTATTCGTTGCCTGTATAACTTGTTTTCTGTGTGTTTTCTTAATTTGTATTTTTGTTTTATAGGTCCTGTGAGATTTATTCTTTAAAGAGGTTCTGTTTTGATGTGTTTCCAGGATTTGTTTCAAGATTTAGACCTCCTTTCAGCAGTTCTTATATTGCTGGCTTGGTAGTGGTGAATTCTCTCAGTATTTGTCTGAAAAAGACTGTATCTTTCCTTCATTTATGAAGCTTAGTTTCACTGGATACGAAATTCTTGGCTGATCATTGTTTTGTTTAAGGAGGCTGAAGCTAGGGCCCCAATCCCTTCCAGCTTGTAAGGTTTCATCTGAGAAAGCTGCTGTTAATCTGATGGGTTAAAAAGAAATAAAAATAAAATTAAAAAATGGTTACTTGGTGCTTTTGCCTCACAGCTTTTAAGATTCTTTCCTTCATCTTGACTTTAGATAACCTGATGACAATGTACCTAGGAGATCATCTTTTTGTGGTGAATTTCCCCCATGTTCTTTGAGCTTCTTGTATTTGGATGTCTAGGTCTCTGGCAAGGCTGGGGAAATTTTCTTCTATTATCCTCCAAATATTTTTCCCGAACGTTTACATTTCTCTTCTTCCTCAGGAATGCCAATTATTATTAGGTTTGGTTGTTTTTTTTTTTTTTTTTTTTTTGGGACGGAGGGTCTCTCTTGTTTCCCAGGCTGGAGTGCAATGGCGCGATCTCGGCTCACCGCAACCTCCGCCTCCTGGGTTCAGGCAATCCTCCTGCCTCAGCCTCCTGAGTAGCTGGGACTACAGGCACGCGCCACCATGCCCAGCTAATTTTTTGTATTTTTAGTAGAGACGGGGTTTCACCGTGTTGACCAGGATGGTCTCGATCTCTTGACCTCGTGATCCACCCGCCTCGGCCTCCCAAAGTGCTGGGATTACAGGCGTGAGCCACCGCGCCCGGCCCAGGTTTGGTTGTTTAACATAATCCCAGACCTCTTGGAGGCTTTGTTCATATTTTCTTACTCTTTTCTGTTTGTCTTTGTTGGATGGGTTTCATTTGAAAACCTTTCCTTCAAGCTCTGAAGTTCTTTCTTCTGCTTGTTTGATTCTATTGCTGAGACTTTCTGGAGCATTTTGCATTTCTATGAGAGCATTCACTGTCTTCTAAAGTGTTGATTATTTTTTATTTATGCTGTCAATTTCACTGAAGATTTCTCCCCTCGTTTCTTGTATCTTTTTTTTTTTTTTTAATTTCCTTAAATTGGGCTTCATTTTTCTCTGGTGCCTCCTTGATTAGCTTAATAACTGACCTTCTGAATTCTTTCTCAAGTATATCAGGGATTTATTCTTGGTTTGGATTTATTGCTGGTGAGCTAGTGTAATTTGAGGGGGGTGTTAAAGAACCTTGTTCTGTCGTATTACCAAATTCGGTTTTCTGGTTCCTTATCATTTGGGTAGACTCTGCCAGAGGGAAGGTCTAGGGCTCAAGGCTGTTGTACAAATTCTTTTGTCCCATGGGTATTCCCTTGATGTAGCACTCTCCGCCTTTTCCTCCGAATTTTTTTAACGAAAGCCTTTTGTCTGTTCCCTCTGCAGAAAGGCCAAAGCGTGATCGTCGGCGTCGCACAATACTTCTCTCTGAACAACTCAAGGCATTGAGAAAAATGTTTGAAGAGACCACGTACCCAAGTTTGGCTACAATGGTGAAACTGGCTTCAGAACAACACCTGAGCCTACTTGTAGTAAAGGTCTGTCTCCAAGTGTATCTGTAGGTAGCACGCCTAACCCAGAGCTTCACACACACTTTTTTTTTTTTTTTTTTTTTGAGACGGAGTTTCACTCATGTTACCCAGGCTGGAGTGCAATGGCGCAATCTCGGCTCACCGCAACCTCCGCCTCCTGGGTTCAGGCAATTCTCCTGCCTCAGCCTCCAGAATAGCTGGGATTACAGGCACATGCCACCATGCCCAGCTGATTTTTTGTATTTTTAGTAGAGACGGGGTTTCACCATGTTGACCAGGATGGTCTCGATCTCTTGACCTCGTGATCCACCCGCCTCGGCCTCCCAAAGTGCTGGGATTACAGGCGTGAGCCACCGCGCCCGGCTTTCCACACACACTTTTAATCATTGTTACAACAATTCCTATTTCTTGACAATTGCTATGTATAAGGACAGATGTTAAGTACTTTATATTCTTATTGTCATGAGCACCCACTTTATTGAGGGACACTAAGGCTCACATAGAAGAGTCGTCTTCCTGCCAGGTGCAGTGGCACACATCCGTAATCCCATCACTTTGGGAGGCTGAGGTGGGCGGATCATCTGAGGTCAGGATTTTGAGACCAGCCTGACCAACATGGAGAAACCCCGTCTCTACCAAAAATACAAAATTAGCCAGGCGTGGTGGCATGTACTTGTAACCCAAGCTACTCAGGAGGCTGAGGCAGCAGAATTGCTTGAACCCAGGAGGCAGAGATTGCAGTGAGCTGAGATCATGCCATTGCACTCCAGTCTGGGCAATGATAGCAAAACTCTGAAAAAAAAAAAAAAAAGAAAAGAAAAGAAAAAAGAAAAGCTGTCTTCCAAGCATTATAAACACAAGAGCTGGAATTTGAACCCAAGCCTTTCTAACCCCAGACCCACCATGCTACACAGGACTGTCTGAGGCTGAATCTCAGATACTCCCATTCGGGTCTATTCTTGTGTATTCAGGACAGGTTCTGCTTAATTCACATTCATCCAGCTGCCTGTCACTAAGTTCCCACAGAGTATTCAGGGGAGAACATCTGGATGAACTCTGAAGACATCCCAAACTAAACTCTCACCCCATACTCTGACTTTAAAATACTTTCTCTGGGCACCAGGCATAAGTGGCTCACACTTGTAATCCTAGCACTTCGAGAGGCAGAGGCAGGAGGATCGATTGAGCTTGGTTCAAGACCAGACTGGGCAACATAGCAAGACCATGCCTCTACAAAAAAATTAAAAATTAACCAGGCATGGAGGTGCATGCCTTTAGTCCCAGCTACTTGGGAGACTGAGATAGGAGGATTGCTTAAGCTTGGGACTTCGAGGCTGCAGTAAGCTGATTGCACCACTGCACTCCAGGCTGGGTGACAGAGCAGTACCCTGCCTAAAAAAAAAAAAAAAATACACCACTAATACAAATCCCCTTTTGCTTAATACGTCATGACCTAGGTCATATTCCATTGCTAGTACAATCCTACACCCACTTTTCCCTTGAAACCCAGGACAGCAGAGGATAGAAAGAGCTTCCCTTCTTCCAATAAATATAAGACTAACTCTCTCTCACACCAAAAAAACAAATTCCTAAGAAACATGAGGATGCCCCTTTATACTCAACCCCCATTATTAACTTCCCCTCTCCCCCTTCCTAGACATGGTTCAAGAACCGGCGGGCCAAATGGAAGAAGCAGCAGCAGCAGCAAATGCAGCCACAGCTATCGCTGGGAGCATCAAGCCAGACTATTTCAGTGAAGGAGGAGACTCCCTCAGCCGTAACTACTGCAGACATTCGTCCAATAAGTCCTAGAATCTCTGATGTAAATGACCATGATCTACATGAGCCTTCTGGTGTCAGGAATCCTGGAGAAGCTGGCGCCTCTGTGAGGGATTCATCCTGGCATCCTCAGTCACATGATATTGAACAGATATGTCTGGGGGCTTCAAATCTTCCTTGGGCCTCCTCTCCCTATGAAATAGATGAATTTGTAAAGATCTATGACCTGTCAGAGGCAGATGACACCAGCAGCCTAAATCAATATCTTTTTCCTCCCAGTGTGCCTGGAGTATGACCAGCTCCGATCTTCAGTGTAACTTCTTACACACAGGCTGGGTGCGGTGGCTCACGCCTGTAATCCCAGCACTTTGGGAGGCCGAGGTGGGCGGATCACCTGAGATCAGGAATTCTAGAACAGCCTGATCAACGTGGAGAAACCCCATCTCTACTAAAAAAAATACAAAAAAATTAGCTGGGCATGGTGGCACATGCCTGTAATCCCAGCTGCTTGGGAGGCTGAGGCAGGAGAATTGCTTGAACCCAGGAGACGGAGGTGGCAGTAAGCCGAGATCACACCACTGCACACCAGACTGGGCAACAAAAGTGAAACTCTGTCTCAAAAAAAAAAAACAAAAAAAACAAAAAAACAACAACAAAAAAAAACTTACACACACCTTGTGGGGGAGGCCTGTGATCTGACCCACTGAGATATATTTCCAGACACCTTTAATGGGTCGATCCCAGTCTAAATAGATCAGAGGCTATGAATTTATCTTTTTCTGTAAGAAAAGCCAATAAAGGAACTCCCCTATATTTCATCGTCTGCATTTTCTGACTCCATTTTAGTGCCTCCTCCCCCAAATTTCAGCATTAAAGACTGTCATCAGAGAAGTGACACCAGCAACACAGTGAACAATGACATGGGAGGTTCCTGACTCTGATGGCCTGAATAAACATCTACACCTGGATTAGTTCTCTCTGGAAGAAAATCAGAAACGAGTCGAGACTTCTATACACCAGGCAACTGAGAAAACGTCTTATCAAACAGGGAGCAGTGGCTCACACTTTGGGAGGCTGAGGCAAGCAAATCACGAGATCAGGAGCTGGAGACCAGCCTGACCAACATGGTGAAACCCCATCTCTACTAAAAATACAAAAATTAGCTGGGCATCGTGGCACATGCCTGTAATCCCAGCTACTCGGGAAGCTGAGGCAGGAGAATCACTTGAACCAGGGAGGGAGAGGTTGCAGTGAGCCGAGATCGTGCCAGTCCAGCCTGGGTGACAGAGTGAGACTTTGTCAAACAACCACAACAATAAACAAACAAACAAAACAGCAGGAAAAGCTGAAGCACTCAGGAACCAAATCCACCCTGAGCACTGAGCATCCAATCAGGAAGGAATTCCTAGTTCCCAGCTTCTCCCCGAGGAGAGAAGGGGTGAACCACACATAGCCCTCTAACTGTTAATGGCTAAGTTCCTAACTAGCCTGCATCAGGGAGTTGACTAGGTAGATAAACTACAGACTTACAAGAGCCCGAACAGAGGCTCAGTGCCTCCCAAGCCTTCACCCCAGGCCTGTCAATTCCTCCTGAAAGAAGTTTGTCCACACGTCGATCACCCCAACTTTTATTGCTGTCACTCAAGGGACTGCATCCTAAACCTCCTGCCTCTGGAAATGGAAGGGATTAGGCATACGTGAGCCTCCCTAGCTCACAGAAGAAAAAGGTGGTTTTAAGCAGCCACACAAGCACTTCAGGGTTTGCCTTCCTCCGCCACACTCCCCCAACCAGAGCAGTGCAGAGAAGGGGTGAAAACGCACAGTTCCCAGTTTCTCCTCAAAAGGATTTGCCAGCACACTCTTCCAGCTGCTGCTTGATAGTCCTGCTTTTAACCAGCTTGTATGCGGGAGTTCACAGGACAGACAAATGCTGGACCCTCAGGAGCCTGCACAGGAGTTCAGACACTCCAGGCCTTTTGCCCTTGCTTGCTCCAGTGGGAAATCTACAGACTCTCCCTGGAAGGAGCTTTTCCATGCAGTGAGCACCCAAACTTTTACAGCTTCCACTGCATCCTAAATCACCTATCTCTAGGAAGTGAAGGGACTTGGCATTCACTAGGTTCCCTGGATCACAGCAAAGAGGTGATTTTAAACTGATGCACAAGCATTTCCAGTACACTGGGATATTCCCAGGGGCCTGAGGCTGAGCACACCCAGCTGGCCATTACCACCTCAGGTGGCATCTACCTGCATGTGCCACTTACAGGCCTGGAGACTGGCCTGCTCAGCCCATCGCAGCCATCACCAACACTAGCACAAGCTAACTGGAAGCTAGATTGTCCTGCCAATGTTATTGCCATTGCCTGTGCCACACTTGCTGCCCAGTGGCCCCAGGAACTGTGCGTCTACCTGGCCCATGCTGCCAATGCCGGCACCCAAGCAAGCCACCTGGAAGCCCAGGAATTGGCCCACCTGAACCTGCTAAGACCTGTGCCAGCATAGACCACCCTGGGGCTCAAGGACAGGCATGCTTGGCCCACCACTGCCACCCCTGTGCCCAAGAACTGGCCCACCTGGCATCCCCTGTCCCCAGAAAAACTTCACCACAGCCTCCACTAACAACTGCACTTTAAGTCACAGAGGAAATAACACACACTACTGATGTTGCTTACAGCCAAAGAAATCATACGAAGATTATACCTGGATAAAGAATTCAAAATAACGATATTAAAGAAGCTTGGTGAGATACAGAAGAACTCAGAAAAATAATACAAACAAATTAGAAAAACAATTCAGGATATGAATAAAAAGTTTACCAAAGAGATAGACATAAAAAAGAACCAAACAAATTCTGGAAAAGAAGACTTCATTGAATGAAATACAAAATATATTTGAAAGCTTCAGCAATCGACTAAATCAAATAGAATAAAGAATTTCAGAACCTGAAGCCCTATCTTTTGAAATAACCCAGGAAGACAAAAAGATAAAAAATTTGAAAAGAATGATAAAAGCCATATGAGATACCATAAAGCAACCAAATTTTCAAATTATTGGGGTCCCAGAAGGCAAAGAGAGAGAGCAAAAGATTAAGAAAATCTTTTAATAAAATAATAGTCTGGGCACAGTGGCTCATGCCTGTAATCCCAGCACTTTGGGAGGTCAAGGCAGGTTGGTCACTTGAGGTCAGGAGTTCAAAATGAACCTAGCCAACATGGTTGAAATCCCGTCTCTACTAAAAATACAAAATTAGCCAGGCACAATGGCACATGACTGTAATCCCAGTCATGAGAGGCTAAGGGAGGAGAATCACCTGAACTTGGGAGGCTGAGGTTGCAGTGAACCAAGATCACGCCATTGCACTCCAGCCTGGACAAAAAGAGTGAAACTCTTTGTCTCAAAAAAAAAAAAAAAAAAAAAAAAATCTGAATAAGAGCTATTCCTTGATCTTAAAGGAATGGATCATTCTCTAAGAGAACTTAGGGCTGGAGGCCTTGATTTCTGCCAGCCAGTCCCAGGAGTTAGCTGTTAAGAGTCACTACTCACCTTTGCAAAATTCAGCTTGATCAGTGACTTCTCCTTTAGTTTCAGGAAAAAGAAGCAAGAACCTTTAAGTAATTAATAAGTAAGTGACTGATGTGAAGAAACGCTGAGGCTCTAAAGCTGGATGGAACAGAGACTGGACTATTCTCTGAACATCTAAGTCTATGCAGCTATAAACAAGAAGGTAAGGCTGCAGGAGCTGACCCGGAGGCCCCAAGATGCATCAATAAACCAGGATGGTAGCAGCTGTGGAGCTGTGTGGGGCAGCAGTCCCCAACATTTTTGGCACCAGGAACCGGTTTTGGGGAAGGCAAATTTTCCACAGACGGTGGTGGCCCACCGGGTAGGTGGGGTGGGTGGGGTGGGGGTGGGGAGTTGTTTGGGGATGTTTCAAGCTCATTACATTTATTGTGCACTTTATTATTATTACATTATAATATATAATTAAATAATTATGCAACTCACTGTAATGTAGAATCAGTGGGAGCCCTGAGCGTGTTTTCCTGCAACTAGATGGTCCTACATGGGGGTGATGGAAGACAGTGACAGATCATCAGGCATTCGATTCTCATAAGGAGCGTGCAACCTATATATCCCTCAAATGCACAGTTCACAATAAAGTTTGTGCTCCTGTGAGAATCTAAGGCCCTAGCTGACCTGACAGGAGGCAGAGCTCAGGCTGTAATGCCAGCGATGGGGAGTGGTTGCAAATAGAGATGAAGCTTTGCTCATTGGCCCACTGCTTACCTGGTGTGTGGCCTGGTTCCTAACTGGCCACCGTGGGTACAGGTCTGTGGGGGTGGAGAGGGGGGGTGCTGGGGACCACTGGTATAGAGTGCTCTCTTGTAACCCACCCAACCTTTAAGTGAGTGCAGATTTGCAAACACAACCACCTTCTCTAGAAGGGACCCTATGAGCTGGAGGATGAGACCACAGCCTGGAGTTTTGTTTAGGCATTTTTTTATGGTAAGCATAGCTTACTTCTGAAATTTAAGAAACGACTGCATTAAGCGGTGAAATACTACGCGGGTGTTTACTTTGTTATTGTGTTTGCATGAACATTTAAGAAAAATAAAACATTAAGAATTGATGGCAGGCGTGGTGGAAGCCTTTTTGAAAAACAACAGCAACAACAAAACCTGTCCCCTACATGTAACAGCGATGTCTGTCTTCGGAGGAATTGGTGAGCTGCGTCTCATCCCGCTGTCATGCAAGGGATCGTGGTGGTGGAACGTGACTGGGAAGTGGGAACTGAGCCTGGGAGGCTAAGACATGTCCGGAGAGTTTGGGAAGCGAATGTAGCCAAGATGCCAACTCCAGCCTTTGAGCTCCAGAGGGCGCTCCTCGCACATCACATGAAAGACGGTACGCGGAGCGCTTGGGGTGATGCTTGCAGAGGAACTGAGCCAGGCTGTGGTTCTCTGTGCCATCTCCTTCTGGTAGGCAGCACTCCTGCTGTGCACTGGGGCCCCTGTTTCCTAGGTCCGCAAACTGGTCGAAAAACACGAGTTGATCCGGCCGCCCCAAACTGCTTTCTATCGGGACGTTCTGTCCAAGTTTCCCGCTCGGCTTTCTATATACCACTCAGCGCTTAAGCCACGCCCCTTATCCTTGATGTCCAATCAGGAGCGAGGTCTGGATCCCTCGGAGGGGCCTGGGGAGGCAGAGGATTATTTTTTTTTTAACCTAAAAATTTAAATTTAGATGAAAATGGGAGATTCTTCATGGAAGTTTTAATGACAATAATTAGTCTCCGAAAAAATAGAAAGTCTTAATAGACCAATAACCAAAGAACTTTCAAAGGCTGCAAGCCATCCTCCTTCCTCAGCCTCCTAAGTAGCTGGGATTCCAAGTGTGAGCCACTACATCTGGCTTGACTTCTATAATGTGTTCTCCTTTGACAGTTTTCAGCCTCTTGGTTAAAGGGGAGAGGCGCTTGTGGGGGGACTGCAGTGGGAAGTGGGAAGAGTGACCGGGGAACTGGTCCTTTCTGCTTCATGTCTTGGTGGAAGTGTCAAGAGGTGTTGGGGTAACATTAGCCACTTCCCCTCTGCAACCAGCTCCCAGACTTCACTTCTCTCTTTCCTCCACCTGAGATGACACAGTTGTGGTTAAGGGCCTGGACCATGGGGTTAACCTAGATGAGAGGCCCATCTCTGCAACTTCTACCTGGATGAACTTGAGCAAATGATTCACCTCTGTGAGCTTCAGTTTCTTTATCTGGGAAATTGAGATATAATAGTTAATGTCTATATCATAAAGTTGTCATAAATAAAACGTTATGATAAATTAAACATATGCAGCTCTTAGAATGGCACCTGACACATACGGAGCACTGTGTAAATACTTTTATTTATATTATGTTCCTTTTTTTGTTTTTTAAGACAGTTGCATTCTGTCACCCACGCTGAAGTGCAGTGGAGCAATAATCTCAGCTCACTGCAACCTCCACCTCCCAGGTTCAAGCAATTCTCCTGCCTCAGCCCCCCGAGTAGCTGGAATTACATGCACCCGCCACCATATCTGGCTAGATTTATATTATTTTTCTTTTTTTTCTTTTTTTTTTTTTTTTTGAGAGGGATTTTCGCTTTTGTTGCCCAGGCTGGAGTGCAATGGCGCGATCTCGGCTCACCGCAACCTCCGCCTCCTGGGTTCAGGCAATTCTCCTGCCTCAGCCTCCTGAGTAGCTGGGATTACAGGCACGCGCCACCATGCCCAGCTGATTTTTTGTATTTTTAGTAGAGACGGGGTTTCACCATGTTGACCAGGATGGTCTTGATCTCTTGACCTCGTGATCCACCCGTCTCGGCCTCCCAAAGTGCTGGGATTACAGGCGTGAGCCACCGCGCCCGGCTTTATTTTTCAATATACATGATATTCTGTGCATTAATTTTTTTTCAGACAAGACAGAGATAAGGGTTTTAAAAAAGGGGAGGGGTCAGGGGTGGGAGAGGAATTTTGCTTTTTGTTTTATATTCTTCAGTACTTAAAAACTTTGTCATTTTCAGGCTGGGCATGGTAGCTCATGCCTGTAATCCCAGCACTTTGGGAGGCTGACATGGGTGGATCACCTGAGGTCAGCAGTTTGAGAGCAGCCTGGTCAACATGGTGACACCCCATCTCTACTAAAAATACAAAAATTAGTCAGGGTGTGGTGCCCCTGTAATCCCAGCTATTTGGGAGGCTGAAGCAGGAGAATTGCTTGAACCTGGGAAGCGGAGGTTGCAGTGAGCCGAGATTGTGCCACTGCACTCCAGCCTGGGCAGCAGAGCGAGGCTCCATCTCAAAAAAACAGACAGACAAACAAAAAACCTTGTCATTTTAATGTTTTACTTTATTGGAGATTGCTAAGGATTCCAGCTAGTTGTTTCTGGACAGCAGAAATAACTAGCCATCTTGGAACAGATCTTCTGTCTTCTGAAAACGTCACTAGAATAACTCTTCAGTCACACATATGTAAAGCAAGTGCTTACCCTGATTGCTAAGGAACCAGGAAGGGAAAATCTTAAGGAATGAGGGTATTCTGGGAGGAACCAGATTGGCAGCCACACTCCTTCAGTTTGAGATACAAAAGTTCTGAAACATTTCTTTTTTTTTGTTTGTTTGTTTGTTTTGAGATGAAGTTTCACAGTGTTGCCCAAGCTGGAGTGCAATAGCACGATCTCAGTTCACCACAACCTCCGCCTCCCGGGTTCAAGTGATTCTCCTGTCTCAGCCTCCCGAGTAGCTGGGATTACAGGCATGCATCACCATGCCCAGCTAATTTTGTGTTTTTTTGTAGAGATGGGGTTTCTTCATGTTGGTTAGGCTGGTCTCGAACTCCCAACCTCAGGTGATCCACCTGCCTCAGCCTCCCAAAGTGCTGGGATTACAGGGATGAGCCGCCGCCCAGCCAAGTTGTGAAACGTTTCTATTAAACCAGAGTGGTCAGACTATAGTCAGCTGTCATGAGAGGATCGAGGAATTGCTGTAGGAAAACTCATCATAATGGTTAGGAGTGTGTGCGTTATAGCTCAGACACAGGTACCTTAGAGAGCCGGTAGTAGCTAGGAAGTACAGCTGGTGGGTTGAATTTGTATCCCCTGTGGTAAGAGGCATAACAAGCTGATTTCCTTTTTTTTTTTTTTGAGACGGAGTTTCACTCATGTTACCCAGGCTGAAGTGCAATGGCGCGATCTCGGCTCACCGCAACCTCCGCCTCCTGGGTTCAGGCAATTCTCCTGCCTCAGCCTCCTGAGTAGCTGGGACTACAGGCACGCGCCACCATGCCCAGCTAATTTTTTGTATTTTTAGTAGAGACGGGGTTTCACCATGTTGACCAGGATGGTCTCGATCTCTTGACCTCGTGATCCACCTGCCTCGGCCTCCCAAAGTGCTGGGATTACAGGCTTGAGCCACCGCGCCCGGCCAACAAGCTGATTTCTAACTAAGTGTAGAAAGTCACTGTGTTAACTTGGGGCTGCTGCAGTTACAGGACCACAAGCTGGGTGGTTGAAGCAACAGAAATCCATTGTCTTGCAAACCTGGAGGGGAGGGTAGAAGTCAAGAATCAAGGCGTTGGCAGTGCTGCACCCTCCTAAAGGCTCTAGCAGGGGATCCTTCCTTGCGCCTTTCAGTTTCTGGGGGCTTCACGTGTGGAGCGTGTTTGGCTTGTGACAGCAGCTCTCCAATCCCTATAGAGAGAAAGTAGATGGTGGCTTAGGGATGGGGAGGATGGGGCGATAGGGGATGATAGCTGAAGATACAAGGTTTCTTTTGGAGGGGACGAAAATCTAAAATTGATTGTGGTGATTGTTATCCATATCTGTGAATATACAAAAAACTATTGAATTGTACACTAAATGGGTAAATTTTGTGGTTTGTGAATCATATCTCAATGAAGTTGTTTTAAAAGTTTTTTAAAATGACACAAACTTGAGATAAGAGCCCAGCTTTATTCTTTTGTATGTGGCTGTCCAGTTGTCCCAGAGCCACTTGTTAACAGGACTGTTGTTTCCCCGTGGAGTAATCTTGGCAACCTAGTGGAAAACCAGTTGACCGTAGACACATGGTTTTATTTCTAGATTCTAATTCTATTCTTTTGATCTGTATGTCTGTCTTCATGTCTGTGCCACACTGTCTTGATTGGTTTTGCCTTAGGTTGGTACAAAAGTAACTTCGGTAAATTTGAAGTTGGGAAGTGCCAGTCCTACTTGGTTTTTTTCTTAATCGTTCTATTCATTATTTTTTCCTGACTTGAGGTATGCCTGACAAATAAAAATTGTATATATTTAAGATGTTGTGATATACTTTGTGAAATATTACCACAATTAAGCTAATTAACATATCAATCGTCTTGTATAGTTAGAATTTTTCGAAAGTTGGGTATTCAAATCTCCAAATATTATGGCTCGTTGTATATTTCTTCATTTCTGTCACTATTTATTTAATATATTGTGTGGTTCTATTGTTGTATGCATGCGTTCATGTGGTTGCTATTTACATGATATATCTTCTTCCTTTCTATTACTTTCACTCTTTTTGTATCTTTGAATTT